TCTCATTACAGCATCGGATGCTGTAAGGAGTCTCATTACAGCACCCGTTTGAGTACTGTTATAGCTTCCATTACCGTAGCGAATTACAAAAAAGTATTTAATTTTGAAAGTTGAGTTTATTACAGGCTTAGGAGTTGAGGCGCTAACCTTACACGGTCAATAGTATTGTCAATATCCCCTCCAATTTTCAGTATTGATGCCTGAAAATCGGAAAATCCGGATTTTTATCAATACTCCATCAATATTTACCGTCAATAAAATTTTTCACCTTACATGGTCAATATTATTGATCGTGTAAGGGCCACTTAAAGAACATACCCTTCTGTTCTATATTAACGTTCATTAAAGCCTTGGGCTGGTTTTCTGACCCCTGAATGAACTGTAAAATGTGGGGATGTAGAAAGAGCATAATGGGGTCTAAATACTGTGAAGGAATTCGCCCCCACGTGAAGCTACATACATACAATAACATAAGCCAATTCTAAAGTAATATTAGTAAATATTAAGCATAGTTGCAAATTTACGTATACATTTGATTTACAAGCAATTTTGCTGAAGTCTTCTCTATGAGTAATGCTTCAATTTTAAACGGCATCATAAGTACATAAATATCTAAAATATACCTGTTTTTATCAATGGTGGAAGTAACAGATCTAAGACTTATATATTTAGCTGAATATCTTTTGTAATACATTGTACATACACAGTAAGAACAGCCCTTGTTTGTTGTAAATGTTTGTTCTTTTTGAGTACAACCACTATTATCACCATAAATTTGATTGCCAAATTTTGAATATTTGTATATTCTTGGAAATGTCTAAAAGAAATACAATTAATAAGTAAAATTAAGTAATTAATATATTATCTACATCTCGACAAGTCGTTAATGTTGGAGACACTTCATGACAATTAAGTAACTGTGTTCTATGGTAGGTATCAACGATGGATTTACAATTGAAAGCCATTTCATTAAATTGTTGACCACAATCATTTTTTATGGACGTTACGTTTTTGTAATCAATACATTCGTTCTTACAATTAAATGGATACATGTGTTTTTCATAAACAATAACAGCTTGTAGAAATTTTTCAATTTCTATGTAGGTTTTCCCTTTTTTATGGTTAGCGGGGTCCTGTCTCCATATATCATCAGGTATGTTACCCAAGGATAATAAAATATTATTATACTTAGCTACAGGCGGAAGTTTTAAAGGTATGCTGGAATTATTTGTAGTAAATTCAAACAAACTCGTCAAAATAAGACCCTTTATATCTGTTAAAGTTAAATATTGATAAAGGATAAAACACAATTCATGTTTAGAATATTGTTCCAAAGTCGTTTTATCGATTTTTTCTAAAAATGAATAAAAATACGTTTGTTTGTTAGTTTTGTTACGGAAATCTTGTAGGATTCTCGTGTAATTAAACCGCTTTATTCCGTCTTTAAAGTTGTTTTCATTATATCTTTTCTTGGAATTAATGTTAATAGTAGTGTTATAAATACTTTCAAAATGGTTTCGAATATTATTATTGAATTTGTTACTGTTTATTATAAAATCATAATTCAAAACATCTTGTTCTACCTAAAATTATGTCTAAATAAAAACATCATTTATATTCATAAAATGTACCTTTTTTAAACGGATTAAAAACGGTTTGTAATCATGTAAAATTAATGTAATATCGTGACGTAACGTATCATTATTTGAAACGTTTTTAACTATTTCTGAGTGTAATTTTAAGAACTCTATTCTTAAATTTTCAACAATTAACAAATGATAACATCCACCACTAACAAACAGTAATGAAATCACTAATAAAACTGACCTCATTTTACCACATCTAACTTCGAACTGATTTGATAAGATAAAACAGATTTATTAAACAGGATACATTAGCTAATATAACCTCTATCAGTAGATGATAAAAACCTTTTTTTAAAGATAGATGTTAAAAAACTATTTTCTAGTCAGTGGTCAGAAAAACATATTTACAAAATTCTATATGTAATCATGTTTTATTAATTAAATTAAAAATTATAAATATATTTTTGGTTTAGCATGTCACCACATGAAGCCAAATTAGTATTAAATAAAATGATGGAATTTTTTTGTCTTAGTTCTCGATTTTCTTGTATATTATCTAACCATCTAAATACATTAAGAAACCTAACCTGTTCCAAATGAGATATCTCTGATAGAGTATCAAAAAGTAAATAATAAAGTATGATATCTGCAATGGTCATTTTAGTACCACAAAGGTAGGTATTTACCGCTAGCCATCCATGGATATGCTAAAAAAAGGATATTAATGAAATATAACTCATAATTTTTATGGTTACCGGTAATATTTCATTCACAATTTGTTGTAAATTAGAACCAATTATATAAACACTCGCATATTCAATAAATTGATAAACCTGGGCTTGTTCATACTCGGTTTTTCCCAATAGTTCTTCCTTACTAGCCTCTTTAAGATAAATTTTAAGAATGTTAAACAAACTTTTAGAAGAAGTGTTATTGATTGTTCTAACTGGAACCTACAACGTTATTTAATTAATAGATATAAAAATCAAATTTATAATACTAACTCCAAATTGATCTAAAGTAATTTTTCCACATGGTACATTTAGATAAGTTGCAACTTGTGTTAAAAATTTATTAATTTTTGAAGACATTCTAAGCAAATTTAACACGTTTTTGACAACTTAATTGACAGATATTTAACTATCTTCACTCATGTTCTCTTTAAAAATAAAAAAAATATATATTTAATCTTTCTGTCTTATTGTTTCAATATTAAAACATTTTCTTGATTTAAGCATTTTTTAAATATATAATATCAATAAATTTGTTTAAAATCAACACAAAAATAAAGTTAAAAAGTACATAGATGTCTCTGTAAAATTGGTCTAACTTCACGCCAAATCAAACATAACCTTTCCTGTCAATCGGGTAATTCTCTCTTCTAGTTTGTTGAATTCAAGTAAGTTATTCATAAATATTTAAGTCATCTCTTTTTGTTACATCATGATATTACAAAACCCAACATCAACAAATTCACCTAATTCAATTCAGATCCCTATTTCTTTCCGTACGAATCTAAATCGTTATAAAAAAAACCAACTCTTGAAAACGATCTTCCCAAAGGCAAAATTTAAAACCTAAAAAATAATTCGAACACGTGCGAATATAAAACATTATTTATTGTAGATAGAATGCCAGAAATGACCGAAATTGAGAAACCTGCAGTTGCGGAACCCAAACCCGACCACAGCTCAGAATCAACGCAGAGTGATACCGACGATGAAATTCCCGAATTAGAAGATGCCGGGAATGGAACTGCCGGTACGGCCGCTTTTACCGGGGCTGCCGCTGCCGGCCTTCCCATGGAAATGGTTTCAAAAGCCAAGCAATCTCGAGGGGAAAAGAAAGCGCGGAAAATAATGTCTAAATTAGGATTAAAATTGGTAAGAAAATAAGTTGATTTAGAAACTTATCTTGTGGTGTAAAATTTGTGATAATAGAAGTATTTTTATGATGATTTCACCAAGGTTTCGCATATAAATTTTTGTCTGAAAAAAAATCTTGACGAATTTCTTGGCAGACTGAGGCAATGTTAAAATAAATTAATCCACCATAAGAACTAACTATGTGATTTTAATTTACATATATTTTATTTTTAAGATAACTGGAGTAAACAGAGTGACAATTCGTAAATCAAAAAATATTTTGTTTGTTATAAACAAACCAGATGTCTACAAAAATCCAGTTAGCGACACCTATATTATTTTTGGTGAAGCAAAAATTGAAGATCTTTCACAACAGGCACAAGTGGCCGCTGCTGAGAAATTCAAGGAAGCAGCAGCTGAAGGAGCAGCAAGTAACGCCACAACATCTGTACCACCTATAACAGAAGAATCTGATGAAGAAGTGGATGATACCGGCGTTGAGGATAAGGACATTGAGCTGGTAATGACGCAGGCGAATGTCAGTCGTCCGAAGGCTGTTAAAGCGCTGAAGAATAACCAAAATGATATAGTAAATGCCATCATGGAACTGACAATGTGATGAGATGAGAGCAAAAATTGTTGCATAATTATTCTTTTTTGCTTCTAATTTTTTTTGTCGTATTTGGTTTTCCTTGGTGTCTTGAAAACCAAAATAATTTCATTGGAGTCAGTTTCTGGCATCTCATTTTAATTTTTTGAAACACTCTAAGTGTATATATTTACATTTGTAATAATAATTAAAAAGGAAAAAAAAATAAAGTACCGTTTAGTCATTTTATATGTTACTTTTGTAACCCTTTACCACAAACACCATATTGACCCAAGGTCCACTGACTAAACATACTGTATAAGATTATCCAACTCGTTATGAACGTATCGCCCCCCAAAGGCTTTGCTGTGACGTCATTGGAAGAATAGAAATGACATTTCTGTTATTATTTAAGGACAGTAGAATCTAACAGGACTCCTACATACATTGTTTTGTAGCCCACTACGGGTTGGTTGTCCGCACTTTACGTCACACTATTTGCCACGCCTAGTTAACTGTCATTAAGTTATAAGTACAGGGTGGTTCAAATTCGATGTCCGAATAGGCTAACTCGAAAACTATAAGAGTTAGAAGAAAAGCAATTGACATGTCATGATCTCGTTTTTCGAGAAACTGCTAATGCCGAAAACTTCATAGCGCTATCGTCTTTTGTTTTTTCGCTAGAGGCCAAAATTGAAAATATCGTAAAACCCGCAAATGTAATTATCTTGGTTATTATTATAGGTGGAGTATTATAACTAAGACATTATATGGACACTTTTACAGAGAATTTGATGACGTAGTCAAAAAAATTTTTTCGGTTTTAGATTTTGAGATATTAACCACTGATTATTTGCTTAATAAATTCGTTATTTTTTTCTGATTACAGGTTTATTACAGGGTTTGACAGGTTTATTTCTTATTGTTTTAGAATAAA